CATGTTCTACATTTCGGTTTGGTTGGTTTCATCAAGTGCTTTTACATAAACAAAAATTAAAATCAACTTTTAATAGCATTAAAAGGTCATTTAAATTTATTGTGTAATTTTTATTCACTTTTTCCTACTTTTTTCATAATTTTTTATAAACTACCATTTTCCTATAGGCAAACAGGACAATAAGGAAGATTTTAAATAAATTCTACCAAAATATTTAAAAATGAATCAAATGAGAAAATATTTAAAGGTATAGTTCTGAGTGTATGTTAATTTATGGTTAAATTATATGATAGGGTTCTTAAATACTTTTACTTTATAATTTGATTTTTTCTAGATGTTCTATTTATATGTCTTTTTTTTTTTTTTAAAGATTTATTTATTTGTACATACAGAACTGGGGTACAGGCCAGAGGCTCAGGGGCGGTGAGAGGCTTCACCAGAGACAGAGTGGGGAGCAGAACAGGTAGATCAACGAAGTACACTGCTGAGGGGAGCAGCGGGCGGGCCAGAAGAGGTCTGCCACGCCATGTGGTCTCCTCCCGGGGAGGCGGGAATTGAACTCATGCGGAAGTGGCTTTTTAGCTTCTCAGTGCAGTGCTTTAACCCGCTGCGCCACCAGGGAGGGCCTATGTATGTCTTTTTTTTTTATCAGCTTGATGCCTTTAAAATATATCATGCTTGACATCTATGATATTATAGTAATCATACATTAAAACTGTTGAATAAACAATTATTTTTCTGTTGAATTCTGTTCTTTTCAGTACATAAATTGAATTACTTCAGAAAACACTCTTGTAATTTGCTTTAAAGTTTGTTATACCTCCTGTTATAGTTATTCCATGACTAGTCATTAAACTTTGGGTTAAGAGCTGGATCTGATCTACAGCTTATTTTTGTATAGCTCTTAATTTAAGAATGGATTTTACATTTTCAAAGTCTATAAAAAAACACAGATAAAAACAACGATAGAGACTGTATGTGCCCCACATTGTCTAAAATATTTGCTGTCTCATCTTTAATAGAAAATATCTGATCCCTGCTTTAGGACTTGTTTAACCCTAACTTCTAAGAAATTTTATTTCTTGGATTTCTGCTTAATGCCCTAGGTTTTCTATTGCATATTCATTGTATTTGGTTAGAACTCATAGGTCTTCCCTTTAACTTTTCAACTTTTGAACTACTGAGTATTTAACTTTCATTCCATTGTTAATTGTTTTTTGCCATGTTCATAAGGTCTTACAATGCTTCAAAGTTTACTGTTCATCCAGGATCATCTATGCAAATTTCCAGGGCTTTTTTTTTTAATCCATAGGCAGCGACCTCCTCTGTAATACAGAATTTGAAGTTCTCTAAATTCCAACCACTTAAACGTCTTGAACTTCAATCTGTCTTCTCTCACCTCAGGAAGATGGCTTGCTTTGGGTTATTCCTTTTTGTGCTGGTGTTCAGTAAATTTTTTTTTGGCAAAAAGCTGAAGTGATTATAGAGCTTACTTAATTTTGATTGTTAATCACTCTCAGGTATTACAGTGTGGACTGATCATTGTCCAATATTTGAAAACAGTTTCCTAAATATATATTTTTTGCTTTCTATTTTATATGTGAGGGCTTATCTGGTACCTGTTATTTTGTTACAGTTGGAGTGGAACTCTGCTTAGCAAACATTAATAAAAATGCTTTTAAAGTTCTAGTACAATATAAAATGAATGATTACAATTTTATCTATTGAATTCCTTATTGCTACAAGCTGTTTCAGGATAGATATGTAAAGAAATGTGCTTATGATTTAATCTGTCTTGCATCTTGAATGCCTACTCTGTGCCCAAACTTTGTATAATGACTTGGGAACAACAACAACAAAAAAGCACAAATTGAAGACTAGGTCCTCAGCCTAATAGAGGAAATAGACCCATGTGTTAATTATCTTCTGCCGTGAGAAAAATTGCCCTGCGATTAAGTGGCTGAAAACAGTTATTATATGGTGGTCAGGAATGCAGGCATGACTTAGCTGATCTTCTTGGTCAGGCTGTTTAAAAAAACCCTGAAATCAACATGCGAACCAAGACTTATATATTGATGCATGACTGATGAAGAGCCATTTCTGAGATCATTCACATGGTTGTTGGCAGGATTTCAGTTCCTTTCCACACAATCCTCTTTATAAGGCAGCTTATAATGTGGTAGCTTCTATCATCAGAGTGAACAAGCAGAGAGAATGTTAACAAGATAGAAGTTTCTGTCATTTGTAACTTTATCTCAGAAGTGAAATCCTATCACTTTTTGTAGAATCTGTTTAAGAACAAGCCACTAGTTCCAGCTCACCCTCATGAGAAAGTATTAATATAGAGCGCAAGTATCATTGGCAGCTATTTTAGAAATTGCCTATTATGACATGTGAATTATAAAATATATAGTTGGGCCTATAAGATAATGTACCAGCATTACCTGACTTCACATAGATTACTTTATTTAAACCTCTCCTGGTATTTCCTGTTGGGAGTAGTAGTATATATTGTATACATTTTATAGATTAAGAAACTCAAACTCAAGTTAGGTTATTTAGTCATATTGTTGTCTAGATGTCTAGACTTTACCAATTCCAGTATGCATTAATTATGAATGGGGGGAAAGTTCTACCCCTGCTATTTTAAAGCATGATTAAGAAAATTATAAATGAAGCTGTTGTTTTTAGCTTTGATTTATTTTTTATTGATCTCATTTTAAAATATTGGCTAAGAAAATAAACTTTCAAAAATCTCTAAACACAGAATTGGAATGATGCTATTAATTAAGAAAATGACTGTATTTTTTTTTTTAAGATTTACTTATTTATTCATATAGAACTGGGGTACAGGCCAGAGGCTCAGGGTCCGTGAGAGACTTCACCAGAGACAGAGTGGGGAGCAGAACAGGCAGATCAACGAAGTACACTGCTGAGGGGAGCAGTGGGCTGGTCAGGAGAGGTCTGCCACGCCATGTGGTCACCTCTGGGGCAGGCGGGAATCGAACTCATGCAGAAGTGGCTTTAGCTTCTCAGTGCTGTGCTTTAACCCGCTGCGCCACCAGGGAGGGCCCGAAAGTGACTGTATTTTAGTCCTATAAAAATTTCTTGCTATTTACAACTTTGTAATAACAATATTGCTGTAAAATACAATAGTTAAAAACCTTGTATATTTTATAAATTTCTTTGTATAACAGAATTTATGCTTCTATAAAGTTTTGTTTCTATTCAAGTTATACTTTTGATGACTTGAAATATTTGTTACTTTTTGTTCTGATTCTAGTAAAATGTTAAATGGTGCATCTTTTTAAAGTTATATGATTCTTAAATGATTCTTATTTAGAATCTATCATTTCTCTTTATTGTCACAGTTACCCAACTTACCTTTTGCTATGAAGGGAAAGATTAAAAAAAATGGAATTAACTAGGTCTAAACTTTAGTGTGACAGCAGTTTACAATGTGGCATATTTTGTCACAAACAGTATTATTGAATCAAATGTTAATGCTTCCCTTGTTGAGTATTAAAGTAGATTGTTTATTTTTAACATGAATTTCTGCATCTTCACATAATGTGAAAAATAGACACATATGACTGAATCTCTCACTGAGATGTTGAGTAAACTTCTAGAACTTTTAGTCTTATATTTTGGTGAGTAGATGGGAATGCCTACAAATATTTGAAGAGCAGCATTTTGAGAAAAAGAATAAACAATGTAGTCATGTAGTCAATAGAAATTGTTCTTGTGGTAAAAAAACAGATGACCACCAGCTTTTCATTTGGACTATTGCTTTTTTTATTTGGTTCTCAAATAATTGTTGATATAATATTTTTCCTGTTGTGTGTTTCAAGCAGTGTTCACCAGTAACAGTGAAGAAAAGTATGGGAATAAATGGAAAGGAAGTAAACTATGTCTAGGACATTCATTTGCCAACATTTTCTTCTTTTTAAATACATGCCCACTTAAAAATAATTTAATTTTGAACTTTAAAAGTAGAAAATAGCACTCTGTGCTCCAGTTTTTGAAACCTCTTTCCGAACATTTCTATCTAGTAACAACTGTTTAATTTGCGGTTAAGTGCCCTTCACATCCAGTCTTGTATATAGAAACTATTTCTTGCCTTTTCTCCTTCCTCCTTTACAAGAAATTCTTTGCATAGAGATATGACTGCTCTTATATAGCTCTGAAATTGTCAAATGGTGTTAAAAATTTCTCTTTGCCTATAGATTTTCAATTTAGAGAAAAAAAAATTTTCAAAGGAAAATTTAAGCCTAATGATAGAGAAGTGAGAAATGAAACCCATAATCAAGCCTAAGAAAGCATGTCTGCTTGTAGTTTAATATGCGCAGTACTAAGACTTAACTAGTGTTAGCTTCCTGTTGCAGTTGGTGATGTTTTAAATTATTAGAAAGGAATAGTTTAGCTTGACCTATATGAACTTTGCTGTGATGTTTAGAATGGTTGCCAGCTGCTCAGTGTTTTTGGCAAATAATCTTGTCACCCTTAGGTTTTATCCTAAAAGTGACAATTTGTCTGTCACCTGCAGAGTTAAGTGGAGTAACAGCAGTGAGATGGAGGGGGATGCTGTTGAAAACTTGTAGGGGTGAGTTCAATCATGTAGAGAATATATTTCTATTTGAGATAGTAGAAACATCCCAAAATATGCATTTGGATATATTTTTATCTGATTTTGATTTATTATCCAAAGATACAATCTTGTCATCTTTGTATATTAGCTATTGCACAATAAGAAGAAAAAGTGATGATGGTGTTGAAATGGCTTTTCAGAATTAGAGCTAATGAATTTATCTGGTAGAGGACTAAATGCACATATTTGATTTGTTATATATGTTTAATAGCTTTACTTTTTACTTATTAAGCAGTTTGGTTAATTGAAAACTATGTTGGAAATAAACACCAATACATTTCTTTGCACTCCATGATTCTTGGCATATGCTGTTTTACATAGTCTAAAGGATGTTTTTGTACTCTTTCCACAGCATGTAGCGTCCATGCAGCACAGGACTATAAAGCTTCCTATACAAACCACCAGGAGGAGCTCTTTGAAAGATTCACCAACGGACCACCACAGAGACTAATTTGTCTGAAGAATCATGTGCTGAAGCAACAGAAAGCTACTATACGATCTTTGCACTACCTAGAAACAAATTACCATGTTTTCAATTCTTTGAGCTCCAGGAAATCAGGAGAGTGAATTGAAAATTTGAAAATGCGGCCATGGACTGGCTCCTGGCGTTGGATTATGCTCATTCTTTTTGCCTGGGGGACCTTGCTGTTTTATATAGGTGGTCACTTAGTACGAGATAATGACCACCCTGATCACTCTAGCAGAGAACTGTCCAAGATTCTGGCAAAGCTTGAACGTTTAAAACAGCAAAATGAAGACTTGAGGCGAATGGCCGAATCTCTCCGGTACGTTTTCAAAAGCTGAAGGAAGAATGATGAAATTTGCATGTTGATTTTAGGTGCTGGGCATTTTCAGCTATTAAGAATAACTTACTCCTATTAACTGCTATTTTTTGCAAAGATCTTAGTATCTTACTAAGGTAATTTTTATACTAGTGATATCATGATATATTTACTTATGGAGAATTTCTCCATAGTGACATATTTTACATAGGAATTTTAATATAGAAAAACTATGCTATTTATGCATTTATGCTTTATTTATAATCATCAGCATTTTTGATAGCTTTGACATATATGATTTAAGTTAGCATATATATTAAGTTAGCACATATGTTAAATTAGTATATAATAGGCATTAGAATAATTGAGAGATTGCTAGTCTAATTATAATTCATTAAAATGAAGAGACAAAAATTCATCCTTATGTATCTTTATAGAGCAACCAGATCTAGAGTCAAAGGAACTACTATCAGTGTTATATCTATTCTCATAAAATGTGACATACATCTGTTAGACTGTATCAACTGTTTGGAAAAACAAGGTCACTAGTAAGTGAACATAGTGTTAAATAATCTATATTTGGTTTCAAAGTTAATGAGCTTGGAAGTTATCTGTATTGTGCAATTCTGCTACTTTATATATTTAAAGTTTCTTATGAGTAGATTTGAGAGATGAAGATTTGAGAGTCAGTACTCCAAGAGGTGGTGTACCTGACTCTAAGGGAAATAGTCTAGAGAAAAAGAATAGAATTTGTCTCCTTGAGAAATAAATACATTGACAAGTGGAAATACCCTATGGTGCATACATAGGGCCTTAAATGAATAGGAAGGAGAGGAACAGACAACTATGTTGTGGAAACTGAAGAGCATTCAGTGAAGGAAGAATGTAGCTGGCAGTTGTCAAATGCCCTCAAGGTTATAGAGATGACCTCCATGGCCCTCCCATCGCCCTGCCTCTGCTTCACTGCGATTCACATTTTTAAATAAATTTTTTGTTGACTTACAATGGGTTTACAGTACTATACAAGTTTCAGAAGTATAGTTTTATACTTTGGTTTTATACACCCATACCCATGGTCACACCCACAAACTCCCCTCCCACCCCACATACCATACTGCACCCGCCACCAAACTTCTAGTATCATTCTATACTATCAGATTAACCCCATATGCTTGTTCCTCGCACTCCACAGTTACCTTCTTTTGTTAAATTCCATACTTTTCCTTCACCATAACATTGCTTTTGTATATTCTTTCAAAGGCAATGTTAGATGTTAAAGAGAATAACACACTGTCCCTGTGGTTAGTAATATCATGCAGCAAGACACAAAGTAGTCAAGCAGTAGACAGTAGACAGGTAACTTCTTGAATTTGTGTATCATTCTTTTTTCCTTGTTGGGGAGGGCCAAAGAGGATCATGGAGAAGGTGATTTTTTAGGGGATCTTAATCATTCTTTATGATTTAGATCTACAATGTAGAGGGCAGTGATAACAGCTGTCCTTCCTTCATTGAGAGTTTATCACACACGAGGTAGTTTACAAGGATTTTGCATAGATTGTATCATTGAATTTTACAACATCCTTATGAAGTGCAGGTAATGTCTTCATAACCATTTTATAGATGAAGAATCAAAGGAATGGTAAACAACTTAATTTGCTAAAGATCATACTTTTTGCAAGTGATGAGGCTTATTTTAAACACTTACTTGAAAGCCTATGCTCTGGATAGTAACCTGAGACAAACCAGTGATGTAGGAGATCAGCAAGAGTAGTCTCTGCTCAGTTTGATTTTGAAGTGTGCTTTGATTATAGTAAAATCTAAAATTTGTTCTTTATCATGGGAATTTTGTTTCTCATCAGAGATGGTGCCTCTTAACAATTTAGATAATAAATAATTACTCAAATTCTTCTTGTTTCAGCTTCAGTCTTGATACTTCAGTTGGCTTCCTTATGACTGCCAACTATCTTGTTTTAATTGCTTGAAGGAAAGCTTGCCTTTAATATGGGTTGTTCCTTCTGCAAAACAGTCTTTTGGTCTTTTAAGTCACTTTGGGACTTTACGTTCTTTAATGTTGAAATTAAATTCTCACTACTGCATTCAAATGTATAACAATTTCTAAAAGCTGAAACACTTAACACATCATGCCGTAATATCCTAAATACAATTTGAAAATACAGATGGAGCACAGGAGCCTGTTTTTATCTATAGATGTGTAATTTCAGGAAAATGAGTATTTTCTTTCATTTGGGCAGAAAACCTCCTTAAACCTTTCCATCAGTTTTACTGCTAGGGCTATTTGTGTTTCATCCAAAAGGATTTCATTTTAGAAACTCTGTGCTAAAAAGAACACTGGAGTGCAGCTTCCATTGGTATTATTTGTCCTCTTATTATAATATTGCACACCCAATTTGCTATTTTTTCTTCATGTAAGGAAATGTTTTTAAAAGCTAGACAACAAAGGATTAAGTCAGGTATCTGTAAAACTGGGTCATTTCTTCGTGATAATGCATATGAATTGGAGTTGGAAAGCAACCCAGAAGTCTAAAACTACTATTTATAAGATTCAGAACAATAATTTTAAAAGTAGTTCACTAGCCCTCTAGCTAGATTTTTCTCATTTTCTAATAGCATGACAAATTTAGTTTCCCAAATTTGTTTGAAAGTCATTATTCTGAAGGACTCACATGTACAGGGATTGCTATGTATGTAGTGTGCTTAGTTCTACTTATTGTTGATTAGTATTCATACAGTGAAGGAAGTCACTGCTTTTACCATACAAGTCTATGAATTTTGACAAATGTATATAGTCATATAACCACTTGTAGTTTACCCATTTTAATAGTTATATATTATCTCATTATAGCTTGAATTTGCTCTTCATTGAGTGTTGATATTGACCCTTTCCATCGACTATTGGTTAGTTCCATCAATCATTTATTCCATCAACTATTGATTGGTGATATTGAACATTTTCTTTAATGTGCCTGTTTGCCATTTCGCTATTTTAATTGATGAAGTATCTTTAAAAATTTGCTTATTTTTAAAAATTGAGATTTTTTCTTAATGAATTCTTTTTTTTAATTCTTTTTTAAAAGATATTTTTATTTATTTATACACACAGAAATGGGGTACAGGCCAAAGGTACAGGGCCAGTGAGAGGATTCACCAGAGACAGAGTGGGGAGCAGAACAGGCAGATTGACAAAGTACACTGCTGAGGGGAGCAGCAGGTGAGACAGGAGAGGTCTCCTGTGCCATGTGGACTTCTGGGATGCGGATTGAATTCACATTGAAGCAGCCAGCGTTTGGCTTAACTTTGCATTGCAGCACTCCAACCCATTGTACCACCAGGGAGGGAAAATTTACAGATAGTCATATATATATGAATGATATAAGACAATAAAAACATTGTGGCTTAAAACAATAGTTATTTAAACTGGGTGGTGTAAGTGGACTGTATATCCAGTTCCCTGGGGCCAGGACTATGACTGCAGCTATCTGGTGCACATCTGCTGTGGCTGAGCAGTTCGGATGACTGCACTCATAGATTGGATGAGTAGTTGGGGATTTCAGCTGATTCCTTTCCAGGTGGCTTCTTTAACAAGAAAGACCAGGTTTCCTACATAGTAGTATTTCCAGGGGACAAAGCAGAAATTGCGAGTCCTCTTGCGGCCAAGCGTTAGAGGTTGTACAATGAGTGTCATTTCTTTTAGTCTATCTATACAAGTTAAAAGAAACCTCCCCACTGAGAGAATGGAGGGAGAGACTAATGAATTTGTCATCTTATATAACTCACCATTCTCATCTCAAGAATTAATTAATGTTGGATAATTTACATAGGTCAAATCTTGGTACTGTTGACAACCCAGAGTTTAGCTTAGACTTGGCTGATAGATTATAGCACACTATAGTTGGTTTTTGCCAGAGGAAAGACACAGTAAGTAAGTTGTTGAAGAAAATTAAATTGTCAGACAGATCTGGAGCATGTGCCTAACTGGAGAAATACAAATTTAGGTGGAGAAACTGGGAAACACAGGTGATTGCTGACCTTGGTTAAACTAATGATTGAATCTGGTGACTCTGGCACCAAGATAAATTTGCTTATTTTCTCATGTTTTCTACTTATTTCATTTGGCTTTCTCCAGATACCCCATACTTAGTTGTTACTTACTAGTCCATTTAGTATACATGCTGTAGGCTTTCTTTTTAATAATTTTCTCATCTTGTCAGTCATGGGAATAATCTTTCCATGCCTCTTTTTCTATTTCTGTCTCAATTTTTATTAATGTGATTTGCTCTTATAAATTCACTTAATCTTTACTTTTTGTAACTTGAAGTTGCCATTTGCTTGTCAGAGTTCAGTTGAACAGAAAACACCTGGAAAAATATTAAAAATAGTTCAGAAACCCCTTGAGTAGAGAAGCTCAAGCTGGACAAATGTTACAACTGAGCAGAACTTGTAAAACCTAGAGTGATTAATTAACATCCTTCCTCTAAAATTAAACATTTTTCCTCTTATTATTCTAGATGCATTTATTTTTGAAACTACAATGTAAAAATTTAAATGTGATATTGTATCCTATTAGTAAGATCTATTTGTTTGTGTGATTTAACAGTAACTTTTTTCTGGCTTTTAGATTCTACTTGTAATCTGTCAATTTACAAACCACAAAGAATGATTATTAACACTACTTATTTTATGAGCTATGTAGTAATCTTCCCAGGTGGATTAGAACCAGAACATGAATCTTCTAGTGGAAAAACATCTAGTGGACAAATGTTACAATTGAACAGAACCTGTAAAACCTAGAGTGATTAATAAACATCCTTTCTCTTAAACATCTTACCTCTTATTATTCTAGATGCATTTATTTTTGAAACTATAACTTAAAATTTAAATGTGATTTTTAAATATCACAGGGAGCAGAAGAATGGGTAGAAAGGAAACTGATTTTTTTTTCCATAGGCCAAATCTTGCTTATTCTGCCTGAGACCATGGACAGT